CTTTAAATGCTTTATTTGTTGAGGGCTACTGGTGCGTAACCTCCGTTGCATATTCTAATCTCTTCCTAGTGATATGAAACGTAAGCCTTTCGATCGGAATTCAGACTTGGAATGCTTTTCATGAACTGAAATATTTTCTTATGTTAACTGTTTAGTAATCCGTAAAAGTTGAATCATCATACAGTTTTTAGAAGTAAATATCAGCTGTGTATCTGCAGTAAAAGTCTTTAAATCTTGTTAAACGCTGTATTTTGAATTATTTTTATGAACAGTGTTTCTGTCTTAAGGCCGAATGTTTGAAATTAAAATCCTTTTTTTACGTTCTAGTTGAAGGGTTGTTTTTATTATCTTTCTGGATGGTATGTCTGCATAGGTACTTCCAGGGTAATTAGATTTTCTTCGTTAACACTTTTTTTATTGTTTGAACTGTTTTTGTACACCTACTTGCCCTGATAGGTCAGTTGACTGAATGCCGAAGTGGTATGCAGATAGTTTCTGGGGAGGGGTATACTTGTCTGATTTTCTAGTAATGGACCACCAGTAGGAACGGAAGGATGCACTGTTGCGCTTTCCACTTGCAACAGGTGTTGTCTTCATAAATATGGCGCTCATGGCTAATTATATCAGTAGGCGATTTATGGTAATGTAATAAGGTCGTGGAAGTAACGCTGCTTCACATCATGGGAAATCACTCGAGGGTAGCCATCTCTGCAACAGTGTTGACTTTCTCTATTCTCTGAACATGCATTATTGCAGTCTGGTTGCTTGCTCACATGTCTGTCACTTTACCCCTTTGATAGTTATCGAGGTTGCGGATTGAGCACTAATAGCGTTCAGGCATGAGAAGGTATCAATGGTAGCTTCATGGTAGTTCTTTTGTCGTCTGTTTTAGGTTCTTTGGCTTTCTTTGTTACATGTATGATTTATACTCAGTAGTTTATTTAAGCGTATTATGCGGACTGACTAGTTTTAAAGTGAGTTTGTTGAATGACGTAAACATTAGATCTTTTATTTAGGTAGCGTACCGTCGCTTGTTGCTGGCATCGCTTTTGGACTTTTAGCCAGTGCTGGGGCATATCAGACAACATATCAACCCAAAAATGCCTCCATCATGTTAGGTAAATATTGGATTGGATATTTGTCTTGGAATAAAGTTGACGTTCCTTGTACATATGTATGTAAATGTGTACCTAAGGTTAGTTGGAAACCTCTTTTGGTTACATAGTGGTCATATTGCTAAATGCCACTACAAACCACTGCATTACAGTCAAATCAGCAAATAGCTAACGTACATACTGTTTTGAACCGTAGTATCCTAACATTAATAGCTGTAGCACTGCGTGTTATTTTGGAAAATAGATGTTTAAAGCAACAAATGACCTGTATTTTAAAATAAGAGATTATTAGGAAATGTCAGTAACCTTGACTTAACGAAATTTGTTTCAGCAACAAGTACTGTTCTGGCTGGCGTGATGGGTCACAGATTTTACCGAACACAGAAGGTGTTTCCCGCTGGAATGGTGTGCACACTCAGCATTTTAATGATGGCTCGTTCGTGCTAT